ATAATTAGGTGACTATTGTGCTCTAATTATGCGTTTATTAATTCATTCCAGTCGAATAATCTGAGTCTCACCTCATAAATGCTAACTCATGAAGTTATTACAACATCGGTTGCTTTCAATGGCTTCGTGAAACGGTTTGAACTAGATTAGATTAAACTTTCTATTAATTAGGATTTTTGTAGTTTATGCGTAGCGCCTGGTATGTGGTTATTTGTAGGTCAATGTCACATCATTATTCCCAACGATATTTTGAACTCTCATGAATTGAGCATTCTCTCAAGTGATAAACTTTTATTATATTCTGTTTCAACACTAGTTCATATCTCAGTTTTTTCAATCAAAACTCATCTTGTCCCGAACAAGACAAGAGGATTTCTGTCTTGAAACAAACAAGTCAAACAATTGGTTTATCTTATGCCGGGTCCAGACCAAGCAGACAAAAAGTGAACACGATTTTGAGACAAAAACACGACAAAATTGCAACAAAATATTAGATATTCAGACAAGACAAAATTGAGACAAACTGTCCACACCACAACGACAAATGTGGCGTTTCCACCAGGAGGAAAATTCAAAAAATGAAGATTTATTGCTAGCCGCCAGTTGTTATATCCTTCTTTCCTCTTCATCCAATGTTGGAAAAATGAAACGCAAACGTTTTTGGATGAGACCAAGCTAAAAAAAGCGAGGAAGTCATTCCATTAATGAATTGTTAGTTCAGTTACGTGAGGATGATATTGGACTAAGTGGTGAGATTCGTTCAAGCTTTAAGAATTTTCTAAGAATGTCCACCGAAGATTTCGAAAATCTGATATACCTTGTTGGTCCTGCAGTTGCCAAAAGACATACTAACTACAGTGTAACAGAAAGGTTAGCAATAACTTTAAGATTTCTATCAACAGGCGATTCCTACCACAGCCTCATGTATCTTTCAAAAGTATCAAAGCAGTCCATATCTGTAATAAAACCTGAAGTTTGAGATACCCAACCTACCGCTTCATTATTACCCCTTTTCCACGAAAAGTAGTGATGGCATGGGCCATCAGAGACGAGTATGCTGACTATTTTATGACAAACCTAGGCCAAGTACCATGGCAGTTACAGTATTGTTAACTTGTATACTCATGAACTTTTTATTATCAATTTTAATGTTTTTATAATGGTTTCATATAATTGCATGTTTGCATGTGTGACAAAAGAAGGTACCTATTTACTTTACTATTAAGAAAAATTGATATTTTTTGACATATCTCGTATTAGAGGGAAAGTTTCGAGTTTAGGAATAACTTTTTTCCTTAAACTTGATAATAAAAATGTTTTCCATATGGCTACAACCGAGGCTACGAGTTTAGTTGACATAATTTACCGATATTCTTCAAAATGAAAATTATAAATGAACAGAGACCCTTGGATCTTTACCGACTGGCGACGGGACTTGCAACAGTCTCAGAATTTTGAAACAAAACCCAAATGAGACAAAAATGTTGCAGAAATGTATCGGATTTGTCGCCACTTTGTCGCGAAACATGAATGTTCTTGTCTTGTCGTTGTTTTGTCTGCTTGGTCTGGACCCGGCATTAGATGAAACAAGATAAGACAAGATAGTCTCTTTTTGTTGAAAGTGGATGAAAGCAGTGAAGAAGAAAATGACATAAAAATTCACTTTAATTTTCATGCGGAGCTCGCAAAGAGCAATTTCATTTTATTCCTAATACCGAACGGAAAATAATGACAATAATTGTTTTGACAAAATGGTTAAGGCCATAGCGGTCCAAGTTTTTAGTGTCGCTATTTTTCGGGTTCAAAGGCCGTGGATTTTTTAAATTTCTTTCTGATGTTTCGCTGGCACAAGTGGCTAGCTTCCTCAGAGGTTTATACATTACGATATCGTAACGCGTATTTATACTATGTCAGGTAGTTTGGATCAGGCACATTCGCTCCTTCACAGTGTTCTGAACCATATCACTTTCCAGTTTCATGGCTTTGTTGATCTCGGGCACACTGTATCCATTCTATCTTAAGGTCACTCGAAGGTGTTCTAGTTCTTCCTCAGATGCTCAGGGTCACATATCCTTCGGATCCGTTCCGTTAGAATGGAGATGACTCCTTTCTTCTGGCTAGAATGGTGGTTTGATAGTGCTTGCAGGTAGATATCCATGTGCGTAGGTATTCGGTACACTTTGTGGATTAGCCTAGCAACACATGGTTCAATAAGTACATCTGAGAACACTATCCGCTGCAACTGTTCAGTATCCATGGTGATCTTGATGCTTGGGTGTTGAGCAAACAATTCAAAGGTGTCGAATGCTTCTGTGAAGTAGTTTATCTAATTTCTATTGAGATTTTCAATTGTTGCGATTGGTTTATTGAACTATACTGAAGTGAACTGGCGCATTCAATTGATAATGATTATTTGGTATTGCGATATCGTCTACTTATAGGAGTTACAACTAGAATGGTAAAAGGAAAAACCAAACGTCTTATATTTTTCAGTGATTTTCCCAGATACCTACATTTTCTCTCTGATATCTAAAAACTGTGTTGTCTTAAAAAAAATCTCATTCATTTACATGACGGAGAAAATCAAACTTGTATTCGACTTGTAGTCCCAGAGATACCACGTCAAAAAAATTTAATTTCGCACCGAAGTCGACGTAAATTCGAAATACGCGTTAATTTTGTCAAAAAACATCAAATCATTTTGTTGTAGATCATCCCCTAAAAAAAATAACGCCGGCCACCACTGTTCGTCATTATTCAATGATTGTGACATGGCCAAGATAGCGGTCAACTCGACTGGCGCTTCACGATTGTTCTAGGTGCCGCGTAGCTTCGAAACTTCTAGCGAATTCTCTATCGGCTTCAACATAATTCAACTATCATATACTCGTATAAACGCTACCCACACCCAGATCGGAAAATCTAGTGGTCAGTGCGGTGCAAAGTGTTCTAATAAGACGATAGACATTTGAATATTAGTTTGAAATTTTAATTTCTTTTAACCCATTTACTGCCATGGTTGCGATAACGCAACATCAAAAATATAATTTTTTTCTCAATAGACAAAATCGATTTTTTCATTAACTTGCATTGGTATCGAATAGTGAAATATATCTAAATATACTGAAATTAATTTTTTCAGTACTGAAAAATATTTGAAATTTTGTATGACGATAACCATTNCAAAATTCTGAGAATTTTTCGAGATATTCAAAAAAACTGAAGCCCCATTTTTTTACTTAATTGTTTATAACTTTTGTGATTTTTTTCAGCGTTTTTTCGGACCTTTCCTTGAACATTTTAAGTAAAAATTCGAGTCCAATGACACCTTGGTCGTAATTTTTGGACCTGTCTGTAAAATTTCACAAAAATAAACAAAAAAAATACATGTGAACCAGACTATTCTATCCTTCAATATATATCATTGTAGAAGGACATGAATAGAATGTATACGAGTTTACTATAATTCAATTAGCTGGGAAGACGTGACCGATAATTTTCGTCGAGAATATCAACTTTGTGAATGAAAACTATAGAGATTGGGAGAAATTTTTGGGGAAGAAAAGTTTTGGCTTTCTACTTCTTTATATCTATACGAAAAAATGTGGGAATCTGTCGAAGAAATGGAGAAAACAATAAATTCTAGAATTAACTGGAGAAAGAAGCCCAACCCTCTCAAAACAACTACTTTCATATGAACATTGAATTACACGAAAGAAAAACACTTTTGAAACAACCATTTCTGTAGAAAAATAACTAGTTTATCTGATGATACAGCTATTGTCTACTCCGGAGAAACATGACTGAATGTCGAAAGACAAGCATAAAATGACCTAGAACTAATAAAAGATTGATTTGATTATAAACAGCTATCACTGAACTTTAAAAAAACATAATTCTTGCCATTTTGCAACGAACCATTGTATCAAACCTTGATGGGCCAAAATAACTTTCAAATATGCTGAGTTACAAATATAAAGTATTTGGGAGTTATTATAGACCCACACTTAAGATACACATCTAGTGAAAAAATTAGGAAGTATCTAGTTGAGTTCAGACAACTCAAAGACATTCTGGATTAGAAGGAGAAAAAAAACATATATTTCAACCTTGTACAAAGCCACTGAAAGTTATGCAGAGAAAATTCACGTAACTGATGCTGAATAAACCACCAAGATACAACAATGATGAATTATACAATGAATCAGGAATATTCGATGTAAGGTGTTCAATTCCTTGCCAGGAGATATACAAAATTGTGAATCTACCAAGCAGATGGAGAAGGCACTCGAAAAATGTATTACTAGGCTTCATCGTAAAAACATTGAAAGAATATTCGACCAAAATAATTCAGTACAGATCACATGTTACTATACACCTCAAATCCTTTTCATAACCTGATTTCAATATGTATATATTTATTTTCTTTTTCATACATTACATTTTTTATACATTACAATAAACTCATATTTCAATGTAACAAAAATATTATTTTCTAAATGTTGAATATTTCATATGTACTCATTTTATTTATTTACTTATTTATTTATGGCAATGACAATTTTTTACAAAATAATCAACAAGTTCACACATGTATTCAACAGATGACCTACACATCTTTGTGAAAAGTTCATTTTGGAATTGATTGCTTTCACTTTTTTCTATGGAAGATTCCCACATAAAGTATAAAGAAGAAGTAGGAAGCAAAATTTTTTTTCTATTGGAATTCCAATAAATTTGCAGTACAATTATTTCAATAAAATATTTCATGGCTTTCCTTCACTAGTCAAGGACACCCAGGCGGATAGTAATCACTCTGCCTTCCTCTAAATATGTGATCGAATTGGGTAATAATGAAAATAGATTTGTTCTCGAGTAAAAATCGAGGCCACATTCTTCTATTTCATAATAATGTTATATGGTTTGTTTGGACCACATTACTTACATTTCGGGCATTACAAGTATATAAGAGCAATAATGATTGTTTAAAAATCAGTTCAAATTGTTCTACCAGATAATAAACACGAATATAATGTTCTCAAAGGTAAGTGGTACCAAACACTAACCATTCAAAATATAATCGCCATAATAATATGTCTTCATTCATTATTTATTCGAAAATATTCAGTTGAAGAATAATAGATAAGTCATATGCGAGTAATTGATGAACAGGCAGGGTTTAGCTATAAGCGCTACTTTTCGATTTGAGTAGTTAATGAATTTAATGGATACTGAAATTACTTGATAATATATGAATCTCCAGGATGTTCACGCATTTTTATACCTTATACATATTAATCTCGAATTCAGTATCAACAAAAAATCTCCAAAACTGTCAAAATATCAAACAATTCTTACTCTTTTTTTCATTGAAGTTTTCTGCTTCATTCACTTTTTTAAGCTTTGCTGACACTGAACAATGAAAATCATGATGGCTATCAGTATATTACTTCCATCCACTTTGGTAAACATTCTTTTGTGGGGCAGTCAATGGTTCTTACTGTTTTTTTTTTTGGGTTTGTAACCTTTCACAATCCGAGAAATAAATACAGCTGATTATTACCGAAGTTTTTTCTCAACACCAAACCGTTATTTTATCACCTCAAACAGTTTGATCTTCCTTATAACAACGGTTTGGTGTTGAGATAGAACTTCAGTAATATTCAGTATAAAAAAAACTTGAGAATCAAAACACGTGTTGTAGTTGCGGTTTTGTGAGCTGTTCACTAGAAATCTAACAATGAAGTCTTATTTAAATGAATTTTGGATTCTCATCAAGTATTGGTCAATTCCCAACACATATTTTTGTACTCAATATTCATAAAAATTTGTATAATATACTCTTAGTTGAAATCACTTTCTGAGTTTTTCCACAACACCAAACCCTTATTTTAACACTTCGATACGTGTTTCGATCACCAAGTAATTATCTTCAAGAAGATTGAGCTGTTAATCTTCCTCTTGAAGATGATCACCAAGTAATTATCTTCAAGAAGAAGATTAAACTGAGTTTAATCTTCCTCTTGACGATGATCCATTGGTGATCCAAACATGTGTCGAGGTGTTGAAATAACGGTTTGGTGCGGGGAAAAAATATTCATTACTACTGATAATGACTGATTGAATTGTTGGATGGAGACTTGGATTCAATTGAACTAATAAAATAGTAGCCAACTGTTTATACTGATATTTAATTTCAGAAAAGTTGGTGATAGGTCCATTCTGTGTAACTCCAACTTACTCGGACGTAGGGATGATCATATAATCCAAGAATCGTATTCCTAAAGTAGTATAACAAGTGATTTTGAGATTGGAAAGTAGAGCTGGCCTTGAAGATGATAGATAGATACGTTTATTGACTACATGACATATCTAAATGATACATTTGTTGTATGTCGAGCGGGGTAAATAAGATTATCTTTGATGAAATGGAATGATTTGAATTTACACAACATACAAGAGACTCATTACGTACACTAGATAAATTCATAAAACGAATTCACAATACTGAAAATAAAAAAAATGTTGTAGTCATAAAACACCCATGAGTAGAGTAGAGTAGAGTACGGCAACATTTTGAAGTTTCATCCAACGTGATGCCCAAGAAATTTACAATAGACCCTTCATTCATTGAGGAATTTGTCGTAAATGTAAATGGGGTTTTGCTCCGGTTATATTTTGAGTTAGCCCCATAAAAGGTTCATCGTCTGCGAATAGTACACAGTTCAGTGGATTCATATAATCAAAGATATCGTTAATGTATATAATGAATAAAAATGGACCTGATACCGATCCCTGTGGTACACCGTGTTCTACTATCGAGCTTACTGAATAGGCTTTTTTCAAAACGACTGATTGTGATCTGTTGGAAGTATGATTTGAAAAAATAATTTGCTACGCCCCTGACGCCATAATATTCGAGTTTGCCAGGAAGGATACTATGTGAAACACAGTAGAAGGCCATGCTTAGGTCACACATGGTTAGTGCCGTGTGCTAGCCCTGTTCAAGGCCCTCGACTGTGTCATAAATTGCTTTGGAAGTAGCTTGAACTGTGAAACGATTCTTCCTTAACCCAAATTGATTATTATGAAGGAGGTTGAATCCCTCAAATTATTTGGATAGTGATTTATTGACTATTGTTTCCACAATTTTACCAAATGTGGGGATAATGAAGATAGGGCGATGGTTGCCTAAAAGATATCTCGCAAAACCAACCAAATTTCCGAAAAGAATTAACAGAATCAAACAGATTACCGTCAATAATGAATGTTAAACCTCAATGATGAGAATAATAAAACAATGGCGAAACCGCGGAACTTTAAATTTATTCTACCCCCAATTGAAAGAGAATAATGTCCATAGTTTCGAGTATCTAACATATATCAGTTATCCTAAAAACAAAACAACTAGTTTCGTTCAGAAACAAGGCACAAATGTTGCATTCAACACAAATGACAATATGCATTCATTTATGAATAATCAAAAGTCAGCACGGAGAAAATTAAAAAAATCCGGGGTCTACAAGCCTAAGTGCGATGAGTGAAATGCCTTATATATAGACCAGACTAGTTGCATTTTTATCCAGAGATTCGAGGAGCATTTGAGAAGTAACAGATTGAATGAACAAGTTTCCAACTACGCCAATCATTTTATGGAAAACACTCACAATTCCACAGAAAATACGGGAATTTGGCACATTCAACCAAAAATTCTGAAATTGAATGTTTTACAATCGATAGAAATCAAAAAATCCCTTGCTGATAATAACAGCATTGTTCTGAATGATCAGATAGCTATTTATCATTCTGCAATTATCAATAATGTTATTAGTGATTTCTCAAATGTCCCTTTCTACCGAGCAATGCAAATTTTACTATTCAAGGAGACGAAATCATTTACCAAAGTTAGTTTATAACTCGCTCAGAAGATGACACAGTGAGTCGAAACACTTGTTAGTGTTGTGTAGATTGTGAAATATCATATTCACCCTATCCATTCAGTTGAAAGACTTCTTTGGCCTACTAAAAAAGTTGTCTTGGAGACTTTGGAAGTAGGGGTTTCGGTAGTCTGTTCATTCGTTATTCTCATATGGAACGAAATTGGTATTAATCAGAGTCGAAGACTTCATAGGTGATATCACATGTCTTTCCAATTGTTTATATATATTTTTTCAATTCTCTACAGATTCTTGCCATCACAGCTTTCGTAGCTGTTGCTCAAGCAGGGCTCGTTGAGTTCCAATCAGCTCACTCTCCAATAGCACACAGCTATTCGGCTCCAGTATCTCACGCATACGCTGCACCAGTATCCCATGGCTACGCTGCTCCAGTATCTCACGCATACGCTGTCCCAGTGTCCCATGGACACGTTGCACCAGTATCCCATGGATACGCTGCTCCAGTATCTCACGCTTATGCTGTCCCAGTATCCCATGGACATGTTGCACCAGCTATCTTGAAAACTGCTCATCATAATGAAGATTACTACGTGAGTATTCAAGCTACTGATTAGTGAATAAGTTTACGAAGTGTATAGGCAAAAGTACTCAAATTCTCGGAGGGTCACTTGGGATTTTTTCGTTCAAATTTTCGAATGAAAGAAGCAAGAACTTTCTTACTGTTCAAGTGAACGATTAGAAGATGAATATTGTGTGTTATCAACACTACATTGAGACAAAATGGTTTAGACTTTCTCGGCTGAGGTTTTCAGTGTCACTATTTTTCGAGTTTGAAAGCCATGGATTTTTGGAGTTTCTTCCTGACATTTCACTGGCGCACAGAATTGGAAAACTATTGGATAAACACGGCATCAAAACAGTCTTCAAATCCACGAGGAAGATTCAACAAAGCCTCAGGTCGGCTGAAGACAAAAGAGACCCATTATCAGCAGCAGGGGTCTATCGCATACCATGCACTTGTGGAAAGGTATATATCGGAACAAAACTGAAAGAGCATAAAAGAAACTGCAGACTAGGCCAAGCGGACAAGTCAGCTATGGCAGAACACGCGCTTAGTGAAGGAGACCACATAATTTTGTTTGAAAACAGAAAACTAATTGCCCCCAACCAAGGATACTATAGCCGACTGGTACGGGAGGCAATAGAGATCCACAAACACACGAAGAATTTCAACACAAAAGAAGAAGCGGTGAACCTCAATCGAATATGGAACCCCATTTAAAGGAATTAGAGAATAACGAACAGAATGACAACAGGCAGCAAGATTGTTAATGTTCCAGGTTCAAGTACAGGTACAAGTGCAGGTACAAGTACAGGTACAAATACAAGTACAAATACAACTGATTACCGGACAAGGCATATATACGCTTTACGAAGCCTAAAAGTTAGTCATCAGTCAGCAAACCATGATGTTTAAACCTCTGAAGAAGCTAGTCACTCGTGCCAGCGAAACGTCAGGAAGAAATTAAAAAAATCCAAGGCTTTCAAACTCGAAAAACAGTGACACTGACTACGTTTTGATTTCTTACATATTTTGCCGAATGCCTAAATAGTAACGGTACCCACCGTTTTTGGAAATTACGACCACATTTCATGTTCAGCATACCAAAAACGGTATGCTGAACATTAAAGGTCCTTCAGACTAGGCAAAAATAATTCGACGTTTTCCTTGGCATGCAACCACAAGTTCCCGAATCTAAACGATACAGAAATTTTGCACTATGCAAGGAAGGATTAGAAACTCAATTATTCCGAATCCTTGAAAATATACAAACTTAAACATTGTGGGTGCAACCTGTTAAATGATCAAATCGATTTAGTTTACTCACCGGTTCACAAATTAGCACATCCGCGTTGTAAATTGTAAATTCAGATACTCAATCAAGCCAAGTTTGTCTATTATTACCTACAGGGGTGCTTTATAAGGACTAAGTAATAAACCATTGTTAGTTTAATGTATCAGTTAGAGATAGAAATTATGCATTTTCAGTTGGTTGAAAGTATAGATATTCAATTGAAATGAAATACCTTGATACTTTAGATAATAACTCTTGAAATAGATTCAAAAATTGTAAATTGAAAACGGTTTTGTCACACTATTGTACACACTATTTGTCTCAATATGTACCGGGGTATCTATTTCCTGAGTTTGAGGAAGTTAGCGATACTAAAAAGAATACCATGGTCATCTTGATCTTCTGCTAATTTTCAAAATGCATATTTGCTTGTTTGATGTTCGAACCCATAGCTCACTGCTTCACATTTTTTTTGATAATATATGAAAAATGTCTATGAATAATGCAATACGCATCATTTTTCAATGCTCCACGGCACTTATATTCCATTATAAAAATCATAGTCTACTGAACGGGTTCTATATTAGTAAAAAAGTTGTTTCAAAATTATCACAAATGATATACAAATCTTTATTCATGTAGTGATGATGGATACTTTGTTACTCAGGAGTATTTATAAAGCTGGTATAAATTGGAATAATGATATATAAAATGAATGATGATATGACTGATGATGCATTTATAGTTTTGACAATAAATTACGAAATCATTGACTCAAACATTGGATTGTACGTAACAAAACCATAAATATCTTAAGAATAATTTCTTGATGACCGTTACATCACATACGCTGTTTTGCTCACCTGGATATGGTATCAAATTAGAAAATTATTTTCCATCAATTCCAAAAATATAATTGGGAAATCATGATGTTATCCTCACATTCAAGTTTCTTCAATAGCTAAGATGATAAATGAATGATATATAATAATTTTCAGAGGTATTGATATCAGTGACAAACTCTTATTGTCATATTGGAAATTTATTGAAAGCGGTGAAGTATTCTTCTAAACTCTCGTGATGCATAAGCTTAGTGATACCAATATATTTTCTGAAAAAGAAAAATCAACTTTCCACCATATTAGATTTGATTCACATAACAGTAACAATATCATTGTGAACCTTTTGTAAGGTCTGTTGAAGTTTCAATTTCAGTTATTTGTATGTTTTCAATCACTGCTAATTTCTGGTTATGAGATATTTCATGTGATTACTAAATTCTCAAAGAATAATTTAATAATACTCGTTTATACCAATTAGTCTCGTTTTTTGATTTTAATGATTTTTTAAACTGTTTTGAACAATTCCAGGCACACCCCAAATACGAATTCAACTACGGAGTAGAAGATGGCCACACTGGAGACCACAAATCCCAACACGAGCAACGTGATGGTGATGTAGTCAAAGGGTACTACACCGTGGCTGAACCCGATGGTACTCTCCGTACCGTTCACTACACCGCTGATGACCACAATGGTTTCAACGCAGTGGTAGAGAAATCTGGACACCCAGTACACCCCGCGCCAGCACCTGTTCATGGAAAGGTTCTCCTTGCTGCCCCAGTACATGCTGCTCCAGTACATCATGCTGCCCCAGCTTACTACCATCATTAGACCCTTTACATGTTACTTGATTTGAATATGTCCCTAATGTGTTCCATTTATTTTTATAATAAATTTTAAAAAGTTTAGTTAGCAGTGAATTTCTTCTTTTCACCTATTCCTATAGTTTAAAGTGATAGAGCAGTACATACATTGCGTGTACAGGCAACGAAGTGTAGAGTTTCACAGCACCAAAAAAAAAAGATCTCTGAAACTGTGCAGTGCGATATCGTGGCATAGTTAACTCTTTTTTATTTTTAATGTTTATTGAGTGGATATCTTCTGAGTTGAAATTGTTTCCTGCAAATTTACGAGTCTTCTGCGAGGCATTATTTATGCAACTTTCAAATCATGTTCACTTGATTTACAGCTCTTGATAGAGGAGATAATATAGGTAGTATAAATGATGAACAATAGAGGTCCTAAAATGGAGCTCTGTGGTACTCCAGAGAGAATATCAAGAAAAAAAGGAGTAATGGCCGTCAACAACAAGTTTCTGAGATCTACCCAGTAAATAACACCAAAACCATAATATTTGAGTTCCAAGCAAATGAGCTCATAACTGATGGTATCGAATACTTTCGAAAACTCTTTTAGAACCAGGGTACTGATTTTCTCTTATCAAATCCCTCAATAATATCTTGTGTAACAGTAGCAAGAGCTGTACCTGTACTAAAAACCTGACCAAAACCACTTTGCGATGGTGATAACAGATTATTTGTATTGATATATTCATTAATTTGTGAATATCTCTTTCAAAACTTTTACTCACCCTGGGAGTATACTGATAATTCTGAGATCAGAATGACAATCTGGATCATTATTCTTGGGAATGGGTTTCCCAACTGCAATTTTTCATAAGTCTGGAAATTATGAACGTTCAAAACAACAATTGATAGTATTTGTGATTTATTCATCTATAAACGGTCCACCCCTGAATAAAAATAATCAAAATAAACAATATGGACTTAGAATGAGTATCAATATTCTGATTATGATTTATTTGTAGTACTACAGTAGACTGCTCAGAAGTATGTTACAATCTATAATTCAAAATTGGCAAAATGTTCTTTGTGTTATGTTCAGATTGTTCGCAAACAATATGAAATGTATAAATATAGTTTAAAAAACTAAAAAATACGCTTTTTTACAATTATACTAATATTTTTAGTTCGTTTTTTAACTTTTTAGTTCGAAGTTCTTTAAAAGCGTAATTTTTAGTTTTTTAAACTATATTTATTTTTCATTTTTTAGTTTCGTATGCTATAAAAGCGTTTTATTTAGTCTTTTCAAACTATATTTATTTTATTTAAACTTTGGGATCAATCAGCCGTATATTGTTTAGAAAAATGATCATTGATATTTTTCGATTCCGGAGAGGGAGCCTGAAAATCAGCTACCAAGCCCAAGGCAGCAGGCGAGCAGAGGAGGGTTACAAATAAGGCAACAGGGCGCGTCTAAAGTGAGTTAGAATTATTTCAAGGAGGTTCCCTATAGCGCCATCTGTCCGTGAATAGATCAAGCAATAATGTCGATAATTCTGTCTAATACAAATCCTGAGCTTGAGAGTTACAAACAAACAAACATACATACATACAGGTGAAACTAATAAAAGCGTGTTGAAAATGGAATGTTACACACATCCTCAATGGCGGACTTAAAGTGTCACGATAAGACACTCGTCTTATTATCTCATCAATACCTTTCTTAGAAGATGAGGCACTCATTTTATTCATAATATTACGACTTCATGTCACAGTACAGGCAAGTCTACTCATGTCATCGATGACAGTGCATAATGACATTAATTCGCTTATTTGATTTAATCCCAGCCATAGTGATCTTGTTTGAATTGAATGAAGTAGGTGAATCTTTCGGCAGAGATTAATTTTTGGGTAAGAACATTTGACTTTCTACTCGTCCAATATTATTGAAAAAGTATATTACTTTCGAAGAGTGGAAGGAAGTATTTGAATTCATCAATAAAACAAAAACGAAAGTTCAGGATGGGATAGATTCAAGAGAATATGAGTTGACTTATGGTTCTTACCCAAAACGTTTTATTGGCGAAACGGGAAGAAGCTTTTCACAGGTTTTTAAAGCAACCACTGACATTGATATTCACTCTTTCTCTGAAAGAAAATTGTTTTTCAAGCTTTTTCAAAATTGCCGGAGTCACCCCAAAAGCGACAATAAGAACAATGTAAGAAACTACAGACCTATAACAGTCTTACCATCTTTGTCGAAGATATTTGAACGGGTAATATATAATCCAGTATACAATCACGTGAACTCAGTAATATTCGACCAACAGCATGGCTTTATTCGTAATAAACTACCATTACCAATTTATGTGCATTTAGTAACTTTGTTACGGATGGAATGAAAAATGGCTCTAAAATAGACGTTATATACACTGACCTGGCCAAGGCATTCGACAGAGTTAACCACGAGGTTTTGATCCTAAAATTAAGAGCATTCGGTTTCACAAACAACACAATTGATTTCTTTCACTGCTATCTATCGAACACAATACAGTTCGTACAGTTTAACAACAAATTCACTACTACTTCGGGAGTTCCGCAGGGCTCGATTTTGGGACCTCTCCTTTTCGTGTTATTTGTTAATGACATTTCTCGGTATATCGGGCATTCTCAATTTCTCCTATATGCCGATGATCTCAGGCTGTTTAGAAGAACTGAAAACGAAAAAGATTCTGATATGCTTCAAGATGATCTCAATAATCTATCTACTCACTTTTCAGTATCTGACCTATCTCTCAACGAAGCTGAATGCAAAATAATGAGTTTCACAGGAAAGAAGTCACCTACTATCAAGAACTATTTCATTATTCATACCAATTTACAGAGAATCAATGAGATGAAAGATTTCGGAATCATTTTTACTGGTGTGTTCAGTTTCTCTGGGCACATTGAATACTTAGTATCTGAATGTTATAGAAAAATGAGCTTTATCTTAAGATCTAGCCGTGAATTCAATCACTCTTTTTCAGAAAACTCAATGTTTGGCCTTTATTTATATCGTATTTTAGCCAATTACAAGAATTTAACATGCAACCATTGAAAGACCGCCGTGAATCTTCGGAAGTGATTTTTGTTTTTAACATTCTTAGAAAACTGAAAGTACCTGAAATTCTCTATACTATTGATTTTATTGTACCTGACGTAAGACTGAGAAGAAGAGACAATCTATTTCGTATCTCAAACAATTTGTCTCCTCTTCAACAATGTCTCGAAACAGTTAACAAACTGGCGAGGAACTGTGAACTGGATATATTCAGTATCACAGAGGGACAATTCCTCCGAATACTCAAATGTGTCTGAATTTTTTACGGCCATTTTATTATTTACTGTTTCATATTGTAATATTTTATATTGATTTTAACTGTATCAATGGTACTCAATGGATACTATATGTTGAGAAGTTGAGAATTCTTGTTACTGCATAGATGTATGTCTACTAGCCTCATATTGTGGAGGTGTTTCCTTAGTTGACAGTTACCTGTCAGAAATCCTACTGTTGAGCGTAGATTTTTCGTGGTCATCGCCAGATATATCTTAGGCGCTAGCTTCTCAGGGTCGCCCAGGGTGATCCTGGCAAGATTTGCATCCTTTGATTTCATCCCATCTCTTTAGGGCTTGAGCATGGGTGTGACGTTTGGCTAAATTCACAATTGTCGAAGTCATCAGGACATAGGTGCCACTGGGTCCTAAAATTCTTAGTCCGGCCGCTTCCTTGACTAAAGGGTCGGCAATGCGATTACCTCAACGCCTGCCGTGCCCTTTTAACCACCTCAGGATAATGTTATTATCTACCGAGGCTTTCGCTGAATCTTGGTGGCACTCTAGTACTAGCCGTGCAAATATCTTATATATTATGTGTTTATGACCATCACTGTCTCAATGAATATTACTGGAGTTTTTTCCCAACACCAAATCGTTATTTTTAACACCTCAACACGTGTTTCGATCACCAAGTTATCATCTTCAAGGAGGAAGATTAAACTGAAAACTAACGCGAAGCTAACGCTATTTATGCTATATAGATATCCCATACAGGTAAACCATTCCATACAGGTATAAAAAATAATTTCACAATATGGGCTATCTAAATTTATTTTTGCAAATTACAACTTTTTGAGGATGTTTCATACGATGGTTATGTAAAATATAGGACACAACATGATGGATGAGCATTGATACAATACATTTATAATAAATACATTTATTTATCAGAAGATAATTTCATTCACCTTATTCAATTTGTATTTGATAATACTTATTTTTCATTCGATAACAAAACGTTTGGAACACCAATGGGTGCTTCAATTTCACCAATCCTAGCTGCATACGTTATGGATGACCTAATACACACAGTATTACCTGTCTTATCTTTTAAACCTCACTTTATAAAAAAATATGTTGATGATATCATCATTGCATTACCAATGGATTGTACTGAAGAGATTCTTGACACACTTAACAGCTATGATCCTTAAATTCAATTCACTATGGAAGCAGAAGACACTGACCACTCCGTGCCATTTCTTGACACAAGGTTCATAAGAACTACCAATAATAATATTGTGATAGATTGGTACAGAAAACCTTGTAGTTCAGGAAAATATATCAACTACTGGTCATATCACAAACACTCGATGAAAGTGAATCTAGTAAAATAAATGAAAAATAGAGTATTGAAAATCTCTGACATCCAATTTCACAAAAAACATCTTGATATCTTGATTAAACTTTTTCTGGATAATTCATATCCTTTAAGTATGTTGAAAAATATTTTGTTTAATTCCTCATTCATATCAGACATTAATATAAACTTACCACCAAACCCAAATATAATTGAAAACAATGGAAATAATATTGCTCCAACTCCAGTATTTTACAGTACTTTACCCTTCATTGAGGAAATCACCCCCAAACCCTCTAGAATTTTCAAGGAATTGCCTAATATTGAAATATCCACCAAAGCAGTTCTCACGATTAGAACTTTACACACCAGAGTTAAAGAAAAACCCCTCATTACTTCTCGAATGAATGTAATATATAGTATTCCATGTCAATCGTGCAACAAAATCTATGTTGGTCAAACGTCAAGAACTTTAAGTTCCAGAATAACTTCTCACAAAAGCGATTGTAGACACCATCCTGAAAGATGTGCTCTAGCTAAACATGTCATTAAGTTTGACCACCATATGAATTTTGATGCCACTAAGGTCTTAGCTAGTGAAACACATTTAACAAAAAGGTCCTTTCTTGAAATGGCCTTCATTGCTGTAAATAAAAATTGCATTAACAAAAAAACAGATATTAATCATCTTAGTGAGATATATTCCTATCTTTTGACGTTAGATAAAAATCCATATAACAATGTTTCAATGAATTCACCTAATCTAGCATTAATAGAATAATGTACTTTATACTTCAATCCAAATGTTATTATCCTACATTCACTTTAAAAAAAGCTGCACAGGTAGAAATTTCCAAAAATAATTCTTTACAAGTTAAAGTTGGTAACAGCTTTTATCACTAGAACCACTGACATATGTCATGTCAACTATCTGTCAATCCTTCCAAATGTAATGTTTTGTGGAATTTCGACATGCGACATTATTCTTCCTTCAAAATAATTTTAAACTGCAACTTTTTTCACAAATATTTTATCTAATATTAGACGTCCTTTAACTAGTTTCATAAATGTATTGTATCAATGCTCATCCATCATGTTGTGTTCAATATTTTACATAACCATCGTATGAAACATCCTCAAAAAGTTGTAAGTCTAACCATTCATAATTATATATTAATATTACTTACACCCTCAAATTGTTGCAAAATATGATGGGCGACTGCTGATTTTTCAGGTCTTCCATAATTTAAGTGTGCTATGTGTTCCTTATATCTTAGTTTAATAGATCTTTTTGTCTGTACATAATATTTTGCATCGCAGTCCTTACATTCAATTTCGTAATCAATTTTTCGATTTATCGACTTAGTCTTTTGGACTTCCCAAAAGGCTCTATAGTATATGACTTGTTTTAAAAACCACCCTCACACCTAGTTCCTTGAAAATATTTCCAATGTTCTTCGTTTATTGGTGGTATGGAACTGAGATGTATTTATCTTGGTTTTTGTCCTTTCTGAAAGTCGAGATTTCATTCGTTCTTAACCTAAACTTCTTCTTCGTTATTATTTCATCTACAATACTGTAGTATACAATACTGTAAAATACAATACTGTCTCAGTGATTCATCATAAGCATCAAATTCCAGATAGTCCAACAACAGATGAAGCTATTCTCTATAAAAAGGTACTGCTAATTATTCAATGCATAATCAGTTTCAAGAGTGGAGAAAAGCATTCCGTTCGTTTTTTGGCGGATATTCAAACGGAATTCCATAACATTTTTGACATTATATCACTTAACCCCCAATCTCACAAAATTCAAGGGTTGGACTTGATGTCGCCAAGAAGTGAAAGGATGGAAATGCGAGATTTTCTTTAGAATGAAAATTAAAGATTTCGGAAGATTTTTTCCCAAACTTGAAATATAAAAATCAGCTTTGTTTCTTTTTCCTAAAATGGATAATTATTTTAATGCTATCACTTCAGCTCTTTATCCTACCTTCAATGGATAAAAGTGCTTTATCATCAATATTATGAAAGGCTTTTTCGATTGACTTCATTTCAACAATGCAAATGGTTAGAAAATGAATCTGAACTTCACCTTACACTTCCTCTCTCCAAAAACCTTGAAGAATTCAGCAATATCAAGAATTTGCTTTGTTCATAATCGGTATTTGACTCTCACCTACATATACTATTTAACAAACCATTCGACATAATGTAGGTCACATTCTTTTATTTCATAATGGAGGCAATTCAAACATTTTGATATGCCTGGACCATGTAGGTCCTAACTTCAGTGATAGAAGTATATAAGCACGAATTATCGGTTACGGGGCAGTTCAGTTTGGACTTGAATATTCGACGTTACAAACATGATTTCAAAGGTAAGACAATAGTGAAACTTTATTTCGAAAAGATATTTCATAATGTCCAGAAATTATTCACGTATGTTCCCTAAGTAATAATAACAAATAATGCTCTTTTAGGAATGGACTTTTTGAATAACTTTGACACAGTTCAGCAATCAATAATTATTAACACATAATTTGAAAAAATAACATATTTATACAAAAACAATAATAATCATCAAGGTTTCAGTTCTGATCTGTAATTTACCTGTAAAATCGAAATTACGGCTGAGTATGAACAATTTGCGAGTAGTTATAGCATAATTTCAAACTCACTTTCATTTATTTGGCAATGCAATTGAATATTCCAAATACACAGAAACTTCCAGACGATTGAAAAAAGCAATTGGGTATAAGAAGCGAAGTCAGAAATTTTTTTTACAAAAACTGATCTCTCATAAAAATACATGCCGTTTATTTCATCATGTGGTAACATTGCTATATATTCTAAACGACAACAGATACGAAGACGATTAAATGGAAAAAAGGTAACTGTCATCGGGACCAATACAATGATTGAAGAAAATTTATGGGGACTCTCGCCCTTCTCAAGTCATACGGGGAAAACTGAAAATACTGTTTTTTGTATTTTTTTCGAATGGAATTGTTATTTCAGAGAATATCAGAAAATGGAAAAAAAGTTATTGTTTTCGAAGTTCACTATGACGATGTAATAATAAATATTCGATAAAATGTTTCGTGTCGACATGGCCACCATCAACTTTTTTTTAAATAAGGACCTGTCTTTTTCATTACAGATAGTGATGAAGCGATAAATTCAAAATCCTAGGGTATATCACATTTAATATTATTGTAGCGTTTTATTTGAAATAACTACCATCATCAGTGACAACAATTTCAAATTACGGTCCTGTCGTTACTTCTTTTGTAAATTGTTTCAATTCCTTCAAAATATAATTCAGAAAACCCAATGAATTCGACAAGTATGTACCCTAATACAATGAAAATTCGTATTTTTTCGTTTCGGAAAATTTTGTATTGCCGTAATCCCTCTTTCAAGGCTTATTTCTCCCTAATCAATTATAATTCGTAATATTTTTATAATTCTCAATTCTTGAAGTAACGAAAATAGTCTTCACTAACTAAAATCTACAGATAGATTTTAAAATCTACATTTTCAATGAATATGTTGATTTCAGTTAGTAAAGACACGCCTGAAGAAGCTATTGTTTAGATTTCAAAATCTTCATATACAAAATATATACAGATTTCAATTAGTGAAGACACACCTGAAGAAACTATTGAACAGATTTCAAAATCTACATATTCACTGAATATGTAGATTTCAGTTAGTGAAAACACACCTCAGGGAGTTATTTTATGGCTATTGTATAGGCTTCAAAATCTACATATTTTATATATTTGTAGATTTTATTCAGTAAAGACACTACTGAAGAAGCTATTGTATGGCGAAATAATAAAGAGTTTCTTGAATATATTTTCATGTGATTTCCGACACCATCAGAGAGAAATCATTATTCAAAAGTTACAGTATAAACAATGAATTTTGCAGGTTTTAGCCCTCACAGCATTCATTGCCTTTGCCCACGCAGGACTTCTTCAGGTAGCTCCTGTTTCTCACGGCTACGCATCTCCTCACCATGTCGAAGACTACTATGTAAGTGATAAAATTAAACCCAATATACAACTCGCCTTATACAACTCTATATAAGATATTCGTACTAAAAAGGACACAATACATGTCTGTATCATCTATAAAAAAACAATTCCAAAATAATAGTTACTCAATTCTCAGAAATGACTGATCGACGTATTTCCACAATCTGTCTCTTGCAGTGGCGTAAGGTAATTATACCAAACAGATGAGGAAAAATGATGATGAAATATATAGAATCATAATTTCGACAACAATGTTTTCGTTAAATGCAATAATAATTCTGAGAATTTAGTGCCTACTATTATGGAATTGTACTATTGTTAATTACTTCGATGTTGTAGCTGTTGATGAAGATGATTTTTTTCAATGCAAAGACAAACAGTCTGCAGTGTATATGATATAAATTCACTTCAACTTGTTCAATATCTCTAATCTGATTCGTAATGTGAAATTTTCGTAAAAAAATTGATGAGAAAGTATAGAAGTAAGTCCCTTCTGTGAGATTTATAAAACATTTCAATTATTGAATTTCAATATAGAATGAAATGCAAGACATAAAAGAACTCAAATGTGATAGCAACAGTTCCCCTCAAACAGACAAGAGAAATTTCTTATCGTGTAGACCACACCAAAAACGAAATTTTCCAAAAGTGCAAGTTTAACTAAATCTTACCTATAGAACATAGCAATGAATTCATCAATTTCCGAAATATAGTCTAGTTACTAGAAAAACCACATGATTAATACGAGCCAACCAACTTCAACAAATTGAAATTTTTCATGACAGAGACAAGTCAAGAAATTTTTTCATCCTCATTTTTTCTTTAGTTTATCAAAAATATCTATAAGGCGGATAACTAAGAATGTTTCACGATTTTCCCACGGTATTATTACCCAAACTCTTTACGATAAATTGTATGTTCTGAGTGTTATTTCCAGACTGTAACACTGACGAACTCAACTTTGAGACAAATTTCTTTACGTTCTGAATTTTTTGTGAAAAAATAACGAAGACTGCAAATAACTCCAGGCATGACACTTCACTAAAGAGTAATGATGAAATATGAGGTGAATTATATGAAACCAGTGACCAAAAACAAAACATCTATGGCCCTACACCAGATAGCGGTATTTCGACCCACCATGGAAGAGACACACTATCCTTCAGAAGGGTAAACCTGAATATTGACTGTGATGACATCATTCCCTATGAAATTGTCATCTAAGGGATCGACAAAAGACTATCTACGGATATCAAAAATGAACGGGGCTCCGCATGGAGGTCAGTTACAGAGCCAAGCTTCAATATCGACCACCGAACAAAATGTGTTCTTGTATGTGACGGAATTGGCCGATAATTCATAGTATTGAAATATTTGAGGGAGCTATTTTATAGGGAAACACGTGTTAGGGTTTTGTAAACTGCCCAGTGAAAATTTCACGATAGAGTGTTATTTGAATAATGACTCGTTCGTTGTATTTAACAGCAGATTCCACTAATGAAAGACATCAAGATGAAATCCAAGTCCACGAACGAGGCTTCGTGCTTCAACACCAGATGGCGCTGTATAGATCCGCCAAAATTCCTTCGGTGATGCTAAACCAAACCATAACTTATAAATTGTATCATTATACTACTATTATTCAACAGAATGGTCAGATTTTCTCAAAGTAATGCTGTAATCGTGAATGGGACATTTTTAATGATGAAACCACTAACAAGCTAACATTTCATCAATGATTCATTCTGAATTCAAGAATGATCGTCAAGAAACATCACTATCAAGTACTATTCGAACATTACTTTCCAGGCACACCCCAAATACGAATTCAACTACGGAGTACAGGATGGCCACACTGGAGACCACAAATCCCAACATGAACAACGTGACGGTGATGTCGTCAAGGGATACTACACCGTGGCTGAACCCGATGGTACCCTTCGTACTGTTCACTACACCGCTGATGACCACAATGGTTTCAACGCAGTGGTAGAGAAATCTGGACACCCAGTACACCCCGCACCAGCACCTGTTCATGGAAAGGTTTTGTTTGCTGCCCCAGTACATGCTGCACCAGTACATCATGCTGCTCCAACCTTCTACCATAATTAGAGGTCACATTACCCATGTTATGATTATTTATTCTGAAATGTTTTGTTTATTTTTGTATTGAAAATACATTGACTGAAAAATGCATTCTCTATTCCTATACATGATATACTATAAGTTTTGGAACTGTGTTATTGTCTTCAAGGTTAGTTGTTATGCATAAAGAATAGCTCCTCTTTCCATATTCACCATCGAGATCTTAAAAACTGCAAATGGTACAAAGCAATTAGAGAAACTCGAAATAGTTTATAGAGTTTCTATGATATGGAAGATAATGGTACCTTCCTGGTTTGGTACCTCATACTTCGAAATATCAGAGTTTTGGAAGGACTTTGTCGTAAAGCAGTAACGGACCCCTTTTGTTGACTAGTGTTAGCTGCTGCTGACGCAATTTTCAGTACATTCCATCTGTGCGATAGTCTGATGTGATGGTTTTACCTGTTAGCAGAAAGTTATAGTTAATTACACCAGCCGCTGACCACCATACACTTACCATGATGATTTTTGGTTGGTTTTTACGTTTGGGCGATGCCTGGTTGACTCTTGGTAGTCCAACCACTGTCCTTTATGTCTCCTGTTGTTGAAGAAAGTCCAATTTTTATCACACGTAACGATTAGATCCAAAAAAGGATAATTTTGGTTACGCAAAAGCAAAGAGGAACCGGCCTGCAGCCTACAACCTAGACAAGCATTTTTCAGATATGCTGCAGAAACACGTTGGGAAGACTAAGACGTACTTCCAAGACTCCACTGACTCCATCAAACATTTTGAAGGCATTACCTTGGAGCCAAACGATAGTGTAGTTAGCTTCGATATTGTATCCTTATTTACAAATGTATAATCGAAGAAACTTAAGGTGTCGGCGTCATCAAAGGCCAAAAAAAGTAAATACAAAAAAATGAAGCCGCTGCAAAGTAGTCCACATGAACTGAAGAATTGGGGTTCGTAGTGGATGATTTTTACTAACCAAGTTTTATGATTCGCTGAAGAGTCATAAAAGTAAATTTTGAAGTCATGTTAGGGTGACGAATAGAATGCGAGACGTCGTGTTGTCAATGTTCAGTTCAAGAACTGATCGCGATTGGAGTGTTGAAATTCGATATTGGTGCAGTTATTATTACTTGAAAGTTTTGTAATCTGCTCAAAATATGGTATCCTTGGACAAGTACTAATAGTAATAACGAGTGTGATAACAACGCAGAATTTTTCCTTTGTAGTGATTCCAATAGCGATGGTGAACAATGCGAAAAAGAGATACCAGTGAATAAGATTCGGATATATTTGAATATTGAAACACAGAGAGTATGTTTCAACGTATATAAGAATCTACATCTTAAGTTTAGTTTCGAGAGAAACTAAATATTACAAGCAACAAACCTTATGAAATCAAGATGCAATATGATACGTGAGTATCAAAACCTTCAGATATTCATCTAATGGAATCATTGAAAAAACAACAGGCAACTAGATGCCTATGAGAGTGTGGAAATAAGTAAACATAATAATATTATGAATAACGACAACGGACCAATACCAAATAGCATACTATATAACTTGTTGAAATAATATTGTTGGGTTTACTGATTACTACAAAAAGACACATGGTAAATATATTTAGATAGGCAATATTGTGAAACTAATTTTATATGGCTGAAACTTGTTCTATATATAGCTGTAACATTTAAACATACATAAGGACATATTGTAAATAATAGAAAGGCCAATTGTAAAATTAATTTAGGGTGGAACACTTGTATGGGTGGTATTACTGATTACCTACCTGTATGATGTACCTGATTACTATAAGTAGCTTTAGTTTTGAGTAGTTATTAGTTTTATCTTCCTCTTGAAGATGATCACTTGGTGATCGAAACACTTGTCGTTGTGTAAAAATAACGATTTGGTGTTGGGAAAAAACTCCAGTAATATTCAAAAGTAATGTTACTTCATGTTCGAGCTGATTGCAATTTTCGATATTGCAATTTCACTATGCGCAATAAACATTTGATTGTGTGTACCATCAGAGACAGTTCGATCATCACCTATTGACCCCAGTCTCACCTTTGAAATCATGTTGCTAATGATGATTGTTCAATTGTTAGTATTCAATTCAAATTAACAATGAAGCGTGTTTATTAAGATACACTTATTACAGAAGTATGGAATTACGTAATTCAAGTTCACCAAAATGTTGAATTGTTATTTTTATAAAATAAAAGATTGTGACCTAGATTGTTACAAAATCGTGAAATAACATATGTTAATAATAGTGAAATGGAAAGTTATAACAAGAAGGTTGATAACATTCTCAAATATTGGAATACATGGACATTTACCGAAAAAGCAATTGTTATTTTTCATTCGATAGAAATGACTGTATTCAATGTTTCATCTACTTTACGAAAGAAAGAGTAATTTGATTTAGAAACTTCTTCTCCTACTAATGACAACTTGATTGGTGAAACACACCTACCAACATGAAGAAACGATGTTTGGCAGTAGTGTGATATAAGATGAAAATAATTTTGTTGAATAATTCCAATGCAACAGGTTATACATCTATTTATCAAGAAAAATAGGGTGAGGTACCAGAGGCTGTTAAACTTTTTTAGTCTATCGAAAAGACAAAAAGGACAGTCAAGTTGTTTCAAAAGTTTTGTCCGTTTTAACGTGTTGTATTTTTGTAGCTCCATATCTCAATGAATATTTATTTTACCTTAACAATAATGTGTCACAACTCTGTCACCGAGAATTTCTATCAGATCATTAGTATATCACAGAGAATTTTCAATAGACGCCCATAAGCAGCAAAAGAGATTAATTCTAATTTTGTTGGAGTTACGAAGGGTTCTAGACAATGGACAGTTATAACCATAATTGTGACAAAATTTTATGCCAAATAAAGTAGGATGTCTTGTGCAATGAACATTTTTATTGAAGTTCACTTAATATATGAACTGAAACTAACATAATCATCATTGGGGTTTTGCAATGATTCAAGTAGTATTACCAGACAAGAAAATCTCGTCTTGTTTTGTCCCTCGAAAAATCAACTATTGAAAAGACATTGGATCATATTGATCAAGGTTGTATCTGCTGTTTCTACGCGGATAGTACTAGATCGAACAGGAACTTGTTTGATCCTTCCTTGAGTTTAAAATGTTTCCTTACCATTTTATGTGCATATATGTGTAATAAATAATAAGAGCACTTCAATGAAATGAATAAAAACACTTTTTTCTAGTTACCACTAGCTGAAAATAAACAAGTCATCAATCACACATATATAATAAGACCGACTCTATTCGAGTTGAGCTATGCATATTCCTGGGTTTGAATATTCATGTGTTCAGGAACAATTCCACCATTAGTGAAATCTACCAAGCTGAACTTGAATATAGGTTGTTTCCGTTTCTAACAGTCTACTTCTGAAAAGAATATCTCAGTGAACACTTATTCAATTCAATCGAAATAAGCGCCTTCTGTATCAGTGCACTTTTGCGAACGAAACACAAGTAGATTGATTCCATCGGTATGAAAAATGTATGCTCGAGATTTGACGAACTGGATAAAGGCCGTTTTCACTAGTCCTGATTGGCGAAGGTTCTACCGAAGATAAAGTTATCGGAGTGCTTGAAAAAATTAAAGTCGGTTAGCAGGAGGTCTGCGGAGTATCTTAGATGAGGCAAAAACTTCAGCGCTCGAATTTCGCATCGTGATTTGTGAAACATGCAGACGAGCGTTGTCGTGAAGCAAGATCGGACTAGTGCTGGCTGCTACTGATTCAATTTTCGGTACATTTCGTCGATTTCTTCTCAATAGGACTCTGTTGTGATGGTTTCGCCCTTATGCAGAATCAAACCACCACCGTACACCACCATACAGTATCCATGGTATTTTCTCAGTGGGTTTTCACCTCCGGAAAGTGCCTGGGTGGCTAACCAGTGTCCAACCACTGTTTTCAACATTACCTGTTTCGAGCATTTTGAACTTCGCAATACGTTTCAAACCAGCTTCAAAAACCGCATATGGGAGCTGACGCTTAATTCTTCCGCCATCCCACGCACCGTTTGTGATGGGTCAGTCTCCACAAGAGTCCTCAAATCCTCGCCCTGGATGACTGTAGGACCCCCACTTCGGGGCTCATCTTCGAGACTAAAATCTCCGGGACGAAACTTCCCAAATCGACGTCGAACATTGCGTTCACCAAAAATATCATTGTCAAATGATTGGTTTCGGTCTTTCATCTGGAAAACTGCATTCATGCGAAATAAACTTCCTGATGAAGTTTTTCTGAATGGATTTAATCTTCAACGATTCAATATCAATGTGAATCACTACTTTCGCACAGGCACCGCTCTTAGAGCACCTGTAGTGTTTGTGTTTTGTCCTTGAAAAAAAATATTTTCACTAGATTCGTAGGCTTCCAGGAACAGACTTATCGATGATTTTTGGCACAAACATGATTGTTCATAGTAACAGATTCATATATAAACACCAAACCTAAACAATTACAAGCGGTGATGTCAATGTATATCGGCGATAAATTTTTATCCAGGAAACCCAAATCTCACTGTTTCATTCTCATTGAAAGACCGCGCTTAAAAAGCTAGTAAAGGGGTGGCTGGCAAGGGGTTGATTTTAACCTGAAAACCTGAATTGACGTGTTCCACGTTGTTCCTAGTCAAAATATCAACTGACTTATTCAGGGTAGCTAGTTTCAACTGGAATGTACTGTATAAATCAAACTCATATATTTTCAGATATTGTCGATATTCTCGATGATCAATGGACTTTTGTGTTTCATCAATTATCATTTAATAATATATAATATTCATTTCATATTTTTCATTTTGAAAGACACCAAATTTTGAAACTATTCTGATTTCATTTGAGATCTCAAATCTGAAAGAGAGCACATTGAAACCAGAATTCAACCAAAAGTCAGTACCCTTTCATTAAAAATGATTTGCATTTCTCTCGTAACTTGCAGGAAACATAACTCGAGGCATTACATCTTTACTCGTTATAAAAAGTAGTTCACTACTAATTCATAATGAGGTTCTAACTCAGCGTTGTTGGCCCAAAGTCATGGTCAGGTTTTATAATACTAATTTGAATGTTACCTCACTGATCTACTGAAATCATATCTTCGGAGAATGGTCGTGGTTGTGGAAAAAAGTATATAAGTGTGAATTTTATAATGTTAATCACAGTCTAGTCAAGTGTTTATAGGACATACACATAAGTACAACATGTTCACAAAGGTAAATGCTTCGGTCACAATTTTCTTTTTAATTAAAAATCCGTCAATGCAGATTCTATACTTCTGTGATAGTGAAATAGGCATCATCACAGAAACTGTTTCAATCTCTTTTTGAACTTCACAATGAATATCGTTGAGTTCTGAAAAAATTTCCATAACTTCAATGTATTGAAATGAGTTTTTTTTTCAGTGTTTAGCTGTTCTTGCCTTCGTCGCAGTCTGTCAAGCAGGAGTTTTTGAACTGCCCCAAATCCATGGATATGCTGCACCACAAAGGCATATTGAAGATTATGATGTGAGTATCGATAAATATCAATGATTATTCTGAAACAAATCATATGCCTATTATTAGGTTGTTTCAAAATTTTTGTTCATTTTTACGAGTCTATTTCAAACTGTCATTTATCAGTGAATAATTATTCANTACATGAAACACCATGAAATAGATCGTCTGCCTTGGGGGTGAATTACCTGAATATAACTATCATGTGTGAACGAATAATAATCACAAAATTATATTGGAACTGTAGTAATTAGAGAAAATACAAAAAAATAAATAACTACTAGCTAACTAAATAACTAAGATCATTAGTATATCACAGTAAATTTTCAATAGACACCCATGAGCAGCAAAAAGGATTAATTCTATTTTTGTTGGGATAACGAAGGATTCGAAACAATGGACTGTTATTACCATAATTGTGATACAATTTTATGCCAAATCAAGTAAGGTGTCTTGTGCTATGAACATTTTTATTGAAGTTTACTTTATATATGAACTGAAACTAACGATATCATCATTGAGGTTTTGCAATGATTCAAGTAGTATCACCAGACAAGAAAATCTCGTCTTGTCTTGTCTTGTCCCTCGAAAAATCAACTATTGAAAAAAAATTGGATCATATTTATCATATCATATCAGCTGTTTCTACGCGGATAGTACTAGAGCTCTTGTAGATCGAACAGGAACTTGTTTGATCCATCCTTGAGTTTAAAATGTTTCCATACCATTTTATGTGCATATACCTATGTGTAATATACAGTGTCACCATAAAAGTGCGCACCATATGGGAAACTTTTTTTTCGAAAAGTTTCAATAAAGTTTAACTTCGGCACTTGTTGGTGCTTTAAATTTAACTTAAAATGATGCGGCCAATTGCGACCCACTGACGTTCAGTGTTGTCAAATTTAACTTTTTTTTTTGAAAAAAATTGAAAAAGTGTATTTCTAGATCGAATTTAACAAAAAGTTACTTGAAAAAGTTGTGTCTACGGCAATTTCATATCCATAAGCCGAATTGTATGCAACTAGGATAAAGTTAACGTCTTGCTTATTTTTGACAAATATCCCTTTTATTTTAAAAACAAGTTCGGTTAATTGTCATCAATTCATGTACCTACACATAACAAACTCATCATGGATTTCATCTTTTCTGATACATTTGTGGTC